GGATGTTGGGTATAGGGAGTATAGCGAGAATCGGACTTCTGAGTGTTTGGTCTGGCGGATGGGCTGAGCGAGGGGTGAGAGTCTGAAGTGGCGTTAGTGTATAATTTTACATGTTCCGGTTTGTTGAGGTTTCGGGAGCGTGGATGCCAAGATCGGCTAGGAGTTTCCTGAGTTCGGTGACGGTTATTCTTTTTGATGGCTGGATGAAGGAGGAGGCAGAGGCGTAAGAAGAGGTAGGAGAAACATTATTTGTTTTCGATGTTGCTGGCGATGGTGATCTGTGGCGGGGTGGTCTGCTGATAGCGGAGCGGGTAATTCTTCGTCCTCTTGTTAAATCTTCGTTTTGAGATTGAGGGTCTTGTATTACAGGCTGGTGTGTTGCTGGGGGGGGGGTAACGATGATAGTGGGGAGGTCTTGAGGGTTGTTCTCTTGGTTTTCGGGCATGTTGTTGTTGTTGTTATTGACGAAATTGCTCATGGTCTTGATGTTATTAGCGTAGTGGTGACTTGATAAGAGGTTGACAATGGTGGCGGTGAAAGATGTTGTTTGGCTGGATGGCTTGTTGGGCTGGGTGGCTTGCTGGCTGGATGGCTTGCTGGCTGGATGGCTTGCCGGCTGGATGGCTTGCTGGTTAGCTAGCTGGTTAGCTGGCTGGTTAGCTGGCTTGCTGGTTAGCTTGCTGGTTAGCTGGCTTGCTAGTTTGCTGGATAGCTGGTTTGCTGATTAGCTGGCCTGAAGGTTAGCTGGTTTGCTGGTTAGCTGGCTTGCAGGTTGGCTGGCTTGCTGGTTGGCTGGCTTGCTTTCGGTCTTCAAAACGAAGATAGCAATTGAATGAACCCCAGGTTATTTATAGTAGTTTAGGAGTCATCTGATTGGATCGTAGTGAAATAGATAATGCGGGTCAGCTGCTAGCAATCATAAGCATGTGATCCTCTCGAAATTAGTGTATACATAAACTTCACTTAGTCAATCATAACACACTGACAGACACAGAAATACTGCAGTACAGACTTTATTTGCAAAAGTACATCACTGCAAGATATACACAAAAAAAGCACCAGAATTATAATAAAAAAACAAAGTAATCTTCTATTCTGCCCGGTCTTCTGCAGTTGGCCACATGTTCTCATCCACATTACACTTGATATCTTCTATGGCCCAACACGGTAACTGTGGTCTTTGGCCTATTATGTTTCTCCCTCGGCGACATCCCCAGCCTCGTCAACATAGATAATTCCATGTGGTACTTAATTTTAATTATTAAAATATTTTTGTGTTTCAATTCACAATTCACTTTGACCTTAGCCTATAGCTGTTCTGTTTAGAACATGATGTTATCTGTTCTGACATACTGTGAGAAAGCATTTGTAAATTTCACTGTAATATTACATTGTTTTGGTCTTGGTTGTGCTTGTGTGTAAAAGTGTTTAAACATTTTAAATTGGTGTTAACTGGATGCATTTTGTGTCAAAGCAACAAGAAAATAATGTGATAATTGAATAGCCAACAAAGACGGATGTTGTGCTAACCGTGTTAAGAGTTTAGGTAACTTGTTAAATGTATTGAAAAAAAAGTGTCATAGCCATTGTAAAAAAACTGTAGTAGTTGTGGTGAAGTTCATAATTACCCAATTCCTGAAGACACCTCTGCATTTCAATTTTCTCCTGTTGTAACTGCGCTCTTTGTTTCATTAAAGAATCATTCTCAGATGATAATCTTTTCTCTTTATTTTTCTGGATTTGGTTCTCATTCTCCAACTGATCCTTCTCTGAATTTAAAACTTTGACCCTGGTTAGTAGTTGCTCTTTCACTACTATTATTTTGACAATGTCATTCAGTAGTTGATCTCTCTCTTCTGTGAGGTTGGTCATGTTGATTAATAGTTGATCTCTCTCTTTTGTGAGGTTGATCAAGTTGATTAGTAGTTGATCTCTCTCTTCTGTAAGGTTGGTCATATTGATTAGTAGCTGGTCACTCTGTTCTGTGAGGATAGTAATTCTGTTCTCTTGTGTGTAGTTTGTGTTGTTTTCATAGATGTAGACACTCAGCACTATGACTGCAGTCAGCAGTAGAAAACACAGCAGAACCAAACACACAGTAGTTGCTCTGGTGCTTGTCTTTAAAGAACCACTACCTGATAAAAATCAATATGAGGTTATATGTCTTAATGTTTTTATGTCTTAATGTTCTTAACTTTGTCATTTTTATTTGGATTAAAGCTCTGCATAAACTAAATACTACATGATTAAATGCATGAACCGATGTGATTACCTGTTTGTAGAAGAGGTTGTTGTGTGTTTGTCCTGAAGTCCTGATCACTCACACAGTCTGCACTTTCATAAATAGCCACTGTCATCTCCAATAGATCTCTTTCACTTTGTCCAGAATCGGTCCTAAACACATCTTCACAGATATTATAAGACATTTCTAGTCCTTTTTAACAACCCTAAACTACTAATGCTGAATGTTCTTTGTGTGCCTTTCAGTTTTGCACATTTATCACCAACAACTAAATAAACAAAGAGGAAATGAAACCTAGTCAAAATGTGTGAAATTCTAGTCATGTGACATCTCATCATTAGATGCTTTACTGAGGCTAAAGCCTGTTTCACACTGCAAGCGTCAGCAGCGTGTAAGCAGTGCGTGTGAAGCGTGTTTTTTTCTTCGTCAGATTAGAGCTTTCATACAGCACGCATCAGCAGTGCGTCAGAGCGAGGTGTGAGCGTCGCTGAAGCAGCAGTGCTGCGATGGTTTTAGCGCTGGGTCTATTTTTGCCGCGCTGCTCACGTTTAATTAAAGTGACTGCATTGATAATGAACAAAACCCATTGGATGACAGAAAAAAAGTAGCAATTTTACCCAATAAATGTGTTAATAATATCAACTGACTCGTATATAGTTAATCAAATGAACTTAAATGATTAAAAACTGCAACAAACATTTATTTAGGCCCGAACTTCAAAACCAAATTTAAAACAATTTTAGAATCAGTTTTGCTTAAGTTGCACGCTAGTGTTGCAGGAGAGGGGAAATAGAATATTTACGAGAGGTATAGTCCATAGCAAAGTGTATTGTGGGTAGTGTAGTTCGACACGCATGCTGGATGATGTGAGCTCACTGTGCAGCTGAAGCAGAGGAAGAAAGTTTTATTCTGCTTTATTTATGTTCACTAAAGTTATTCCAACCGGGAGCTGTTTGCACTGTGAACCTAACAACACTAAAATAAGTAAAAGAAGTGCATGCATTAATTACTTTTGTCGGTGTCATCTTTTGCCTGAGCTGTTACTCTGCTGCTGGACATTACTGAAGCGGAGAAAGTAACACTAGTTTGATCATGTATAAATATCACTATAACTATATTGTATAAATATTTTTATAACTAGGCCTAAAACATCCTGACAATCAAAAACCAAATGACATGATGAAACAGGCGATTGTCTTCTGAGTGCACCAGACATGAATGACGCTCCTCATAGAGCTTGAGAAGCATACTGTACTGTATGATCTAGATTCTTTCAAAAATAAAGACTTGCAGGTTAAAGAAACAGCATAGGAGGAGGTTGCCATGGGCCTTAGTGCAGATATATATATATATATATATATATATATATATATATATATATATATATATATATATATATATATATATATATATATATATATATATATATATATATATATATATATATATATATATATATATATATATATATATATATATATATATATATATATATATATATATATATATATATATATATATATATATATATATATATATATATATATATATATATATATATATATATATATATATATATATATATATATATATATATATATATATATATATATATATATATATATATATATATATATATATATATATATATATATATATATATATATATATATATATATATATATATATATATATATATATATATATATATATATATATATATATATATATATATATATATATATATATATATATATATATATATATATATATATATATATATATATATATATATATATATATATATATATAT